TGAATTTTGTATTTCAATCACCAGTAATTATCAATGCGTCTTGATGGCACGTTTGATCAACTTCGGACTATAGCAGTTGGTAAAAATCTTCAATTTCCTTACCTTTGGCATTAATGGTTGGTGCATAAATTTGAATAATAGTCGTATTAACTGGTTTTCCTTGTAGGAGTATGGATAGTATCTTATCGCTGACATTGTACTTCTAGATAGATACTGAAATATTCTTTTCGATGATAAATTGTGATGCCATTCCTCTTCAATCTGTCATTCCCAGAACTGTAGACAATATGATTGCACGATTCAGAATGGCCAATATCAGTCCATTTCAGCTAACTAATGTCTAGAATATTGATCTTTATGTGTTCCATTTCATTTTTGTTGACTTCCAATTTTCCTGGGTTCGTACTTTGTACATTCCATGTTCTGATTATTAGTGGACGTTTGCAGCTGTTTCTTCTCATTTTAAGTCATGCCACATTAGCAAATGAAGGTCCTGAAAGCTTTACTCCATCCACATCATTAAAGTCAACTCTACTTTGAGGAGGCCAGTTGGATTTTGAGTGCCTTCCAACCTGAGGGCTCATCTTCCAGCACTATATCAGACAATGTTCTGCTGCTATTCATAAGGTTTTCACTGGCCAATTTTTTCAGAAATAGACCACCAGTCCTTCTTCCTTGTCTATCTTAGTCTGGAAGCTATGCTGAAACCTGTTCACCAAGGGTGACCCTGCTGGTATTTGAAATACCAGTGGCATAGCTTCCAGCATCACAGCAACACGCAAACCACCACAGTATAATAAACTGACAGACGAGTTGATCATACGGTAGGTGTATATTTAATTTTATAAGAAACTGTCAAACTGCTTTCCAGAGTGGCTATTAAAAACATAGACAAACAAATAAAACAAATCCAATGCCATCAAGTCGAGTCTGACTTATAATGATCCTATAGGATATGGTAGAACTGCCCCTTAGGGTTTACAAGGCTGTAAATCTTCACCAGAGCCAACTGCCACACCTTTCTTCCAAGAAGCAGCTGGTGGGTTCAAACCATGGACCATTTGGTTAGCAGCTGAGCTCTTAACCACTGCGCATCAGGGCTCCTTAGAGTGACTATACCACTCTGCATTTCCACCAGCACTATATGAGAGTTCCAGTTACTCTGCATCATCACTAGCACTTAGTATTGTCGATATTTTTCATTTTAGCCATTATAATAGGTATGTAGTGGTAGCTCATCATGATTTTTATTTGTATTTCCCTAGTGGCTAATGATGTTGAACATCTTTTTGCATGCTTATTTGCTGTCTTTGATGAAATGACTCTCCAAGAGCATTGACCCCTTTTTTAAGCAGGTTTTTTTCTTATTGTTGAGTTTTGTGAGTTTTTTTTTAATAAATTCTGGATACTACTTTTTGGACAGATATGGGACTTGCAAACATTTTCCCCCAGTCTGCGGCTTGTCTTTTTATTCCCTTAACAGAGTTAGTGAAGCCGTCTTTAAGACGTTGAGGTCAGGGTTCATGACTTTCTCTATTTTATGCAGATTTTTGTTTGGTAATAGAAATTGGGTGTTTTGGCCTATGTTCAATGTTTTGGATTCACATATTGTAAAGTGGAGTGGAAGCAAGGACAACGTTCATTTAATGACCTCTTCCTTCCCCTGAGGAAAAATGCTTTGTCCCTGAAGGAATTTAATAAGAGCCAAGAAAGCATTGATAAATCATGTTAATGGCAGCTATGCCTTCTTTCATCCAGTGCACAAACTCAATAACCTTGCCATTTCTCATCTAACTTAGCATTAGAAGCCAGAGTCACAGAAATGTGTATTAACACATTTACTTGAATCTAAAAATGACGTTGCTCTCGGACAGAAATTAAGTCTGAATTAACTGACTGGTTTGACAGTGGGAACTGGTTTTGCTAGCTAGGTTATGTGGCAAATATTTTGCATAATTTGAATAAGCTAAAAGTGAAGCTCCAAATTTTTGAAGAAAATATATTTCAAGCATATGACAAGATAAAAGCAACTTTTCAAAAAGGTATATAGACAAAGGTGTGTTGACAATGCTAATTTCACTAGGCCTTTCTGAGTATATCAGGTTAAACAGGTAACTCCTAGTAAAAGAGTAACTGTTATAATTGATAGTCATTTGGTAAACTTTGGTAAAGTCTTTTTGGCATACTTCCCAGAAGATGGGAAACCGAATACCTCCGCCTTCTGCAACACAGGTGGTTTCAAATTCCTTACTTTCAACAAAAAAACAAAGGAGCACTGAATCAAGTTGTCACCTGAGAGATAATTAAAAATAACTTCTATGATCGATCATGACGTGATATTTTGCATGTATCTCATAAGGTGTTCAACGAAATGTGTGACGTCATCATCTATTAATGTATGTAAACAAGGTTTGTCAGCACTAACATTTATTTTTAAAAAGTACAGGATTTATTGCTGAACCTTCTCTCATTCTAGCGTTAAGTAATGTCCATCCACAGCTGAATGCAGTATTAAAAGAAACCAACCCATCCAGCTCATTCAGAACTGTATTTCCAATAATATTTTTACTTATTGTTTGACAATTATTTATATAAATTGACAATATAGTTTTTGTTTCGAGTGCTAATAAAAATTTGTAACGACAATTCAAGAAGAAAAATTTAACAATAGTCTTTTTTGTCATAGTAAGTGAAAAAGATTAAAAATTTCAATTTATACATATTCTTGTTGCAGAGAAGTATTATAGGGTGATAAAAGACTTCATGCACAAAAATATATTACCTTAGAAGATAGTTCTGTGAAGCAAGTGGAAGGGAAATACAAGTTCAAGAAGATAAAGAAATAAGACTTCCTACGTAAATGAAAATGCATAGCTTTTTATGTATTTTTATGGCTGGAGCCAACCATTCCCGTCAGCCCCCCCTCCCTTTCTTTGTAACCATTATATGTTTTTGCATAAAACCTTTAGGAAGTGTCCAAGAAAAAACAGTTTGAAGACAACTGGTTAACCCACTCTTTCAAGAAACCAGGCTGTGAAATGGAAAAGACAACGGCAGGTAGCTAAAGGCAGGTTTAGATCAAAGGAGATTTTCTTTTTTTTTAAATTTAATTTTATTTATTTTGTTGTTGTTGTTGAGAATATACACAGCAAAACCTACACCAATTCAACAGTTTCTACATGAACCATTTAGTGACATTGCTTACATTCTTCAAGTTGTGCAACCCTCCTCACCCTCCTTTTCTGAGTTATTCCTCTCAATTAACATAAATTCACTGCCCCCTAAGATTCCTATCTAGTTTTTCAAGTTGCTGCTGTCAATTTGATCTCATATAGAGAGTGCTTAGAAGAGCATAATGCTCAAGGCAGACATTTTTTACTAGTTAAGCTAAATTATTGTTTGGCTTTAAGAGTTCAGGGGACATTTTTGGTTTAAGGTTTAAAGATTATCTCAGGGCAATAGTTTCAGGGGTTCAGCCAACCTTCATGGCTCCAGGAAATCTGGAATCCATGAGAGTCTGAACTTCTGTTTTACATTCCCCTCCCCACCTTTTTAAAATCGTGCTTTAGGTGAAAGTTTACAGCTCAAGTAAGTTTCTCATTCAAACGTTTATACACATATTGTTTTGTGACATTGATTGCAATCCCCACAATGTGACAGCACTCTCTTCCTTTCCACCCTGGGTTCCCCCTGTCCATTTGTCCAGTTTTCCTGTCCCTTCCTGCCTTCTCTTCTTGCTTTTCAGCAGGAGTTGCCCATTTGGTCTCATATATTTGATTGAACTAAGCATGGTTCTCACATATGTTATTGCTTGTTTTATAAGCCTGTCTAATCTTTGTCCATAACTTCTTATGATCCACACAAAATGCCTTTGCGTAGTCAATAAAACACAGGTAAACATCGTTCTGGTATTCTCTGCTTTCAGCCAAGATCCATACGACATCAGCGATGATATCCTTCCTTCCACATCCTCTTCTGAATCTGGCTTGAATTTCTGGCAGTTCCCTGCGGATGCACTGCCACAACCGTTTCTGAATTATCTTCAGCAAAATGTTACCTGTGTGTGATATCAACAGGGATTTAAACAAACAAACAAAAAAAAAACCCTGCTGGGGCTCCACCCCAGACAATGAAATTAGACTCTCTGGGGTCAGGTGCAAACATTGGTATTTTTATTTTATTTTATTTTTACTGTATTTTAGGTGAAGGTTTACAGAACAAATAGTTTCTCGTTAAACAGTCAGTACACATGTTGTTTTATGACACTGGTTAATGACCCCACGACATGTCAACACCATTGGTATTTTTAAAGAGCTTCCCAGCTGTTGGGCACCAGGTAGCTCTTATTTCCTTACTACTTGCTAGAGGGGTTGGATGCCACCTAATGGACGCATTCTCATAAGTAAGTTCTTGAATCGAATCCTCTCTTTTTCCTTCTCCCAAGAGTTGTCAGGGTTATGTCTTAATGGGGACATCAAACTATAGGGAGCCTTTGAGACATCAGTGGGTGCCTAGCGGTTTGGGGACAAGCTGATTTCCAGTACAGGAGGCAGTAATGGAGGGTCAGCTTAACCCAGAGGATGCTGCCAGTTGGACAGTGGAGACACTAAAGCAGCTTTCAGGGAGACTGAAGAGGAGAATCCCTAGGTGGTGCAAACGGCTAAGCGCTCTACCAATGTTCCAACCCACCTAGAGGCGCCTCGGAAGACAGGCCTGGCGATCTGCTTCTGAAAGGTCACAGATCTGAAAACCCTGCAGAGCGTAGTTCTCTGCATACATGGGGTCGCCATGAGTCAGAATCGACTCAAGGGCAACTTATTTTTTTTTTTTTTTTGGACAGAAGGAAAAAGGGCAGGATCGGAGAGAGGAGGGGACGACGCAGCAGGAAGGCGGGAGGCGGGGAGAGGAAGAGCGAGGGAGGAGCCAGAGGAGAAGTGGCAGAGGGCGGCCGGTCCCCAGCTGGGTCTTGACTTCCGCACCCCCACCCCCCACGCTCCCGCCCCTCAGCTGCCACCATGGCGGGCTTCGACTCCGGCCCGGCCATCCCTGTGTGGCTCAACGAGGACGACCTGGGCTGCATCATCTGCCGCGGGCTGCTCAACTCCCCCGTCACGCTGCCTTGCGGCCACAGCTTCTGCAGCTCCTGTCTGAAGAACCTGTGGGACGCGTGGCGCGAGAAGCCCCGCTGGGCCTGTCCCACCTGCCGCGAGTGCGCCCCGCAGAAGCCGCCGCTGCGGAAGAACACGATGCTGCAGGACCTGGCTGACAAGTACAGTCGGGCGGTGCGCGAGCTGGAGGCCGGCCGCAGCGCTGCCCCCCGCCCGGCCCCCGACCCCGCGCGCCGCCCAGCACAGCTGCCGGTAGGGAGGCGGGACTCTGCAACCTGCCCGGGCTGCCTTCCCCATCCTTCTCCCAGCGCCCCACCCCACTCCCCGGTTTCGGCTCTGCTTCCCTCCTCCAGCCTTTCGGCTTTTACATTAACTTTCTCAACCTAAGAGTAGAACCCGCTCTTTGGCGAATCTTTGGAAAGTTCAGACAAGCAGAACCCTACTGTCAACCTAGCTGCTATACACTTTGGCCTATTTCCACTTCTTTTCGGCCTTTCCGCGGTCTTTTTAAACAGAGTTGAGACCGCGTTGTACAGCCGAGTGTGTCCTCTTCGTTTTTAGTATAAACACAGAATTATCCCTCTGGTCCTTTAAACTCTTCGTAAACTTAGCTTTTAGTGATTGAATACACTTCGAATTGGCTTTTAAATTAAAGTGATTGATAGGACATTGGATGATGTAAAAACATTTCTTCTAATTCTCTGTTTTTCAAATTCAGTTCAATGAGTGTACGTTTCTTTTATGATGGAAAAAGTAATGCACTTATTTTTTAAAGGTTTTGAATTAGCTCAGGTGCCCGGATAAGGCCTCCACTCCAGAGTTCCAGGTCCCTGAAAACTGGGGCCTGGAAACTTAGAAGCAAGTAGTGTTATCAGTGGTCTGTCACCTCCCCCCTTGATAAAATAGCCTGATTGTGGCTTCCAAGCATGTTATTTGGGAGGACCTCTGGGCTTCGTAGAGATGAAAAAGGTTCTAGATCAATTCCAGTTTTTGAAGTTCCAACATGATTTTAAAAATAAAAAATGCCCAAAGTTAAACAAATAAAAAAATCTGGTTTATTTACAGTTGGATGATGAACATCTTCGTGTATTTCTGTGACTCTACATAGAACCAAAGTTCTCCGTTTGAGGTCTGGGTCCAGCCTCTGATGAATGTCACCAGGTCTTGATGCCGTTGCCAGTATGTGTTGGCTGCAAAACTTACTCCCACCCCAACCAGGCAGCTCAGCAGAGTAAGCTCTTTAAAGTAAAGCTGTTTAGCACTCTCATCTGAATGTTTTTTTTAAAAAATGTGCTGGATGTCAATAAGAAGAGCTTACATCTGTACAACACTTTAAAGTCTCTGAGATACTTTCACAGTGAACAGTTAGGTAGATCCTTTGTACTACTGAAGAGGAAAGGGAGGAAGGTGAGGTCACAGGATGAGTCATAGACAAGAGTGGAGCTCAAACCTGGGCCTAGTGCCTTCCACCTCACCACTCACCTTATCAGCCTCCACCTACCCTGCCACATCCAGGCTCTCTCACCGCATTTCCTCTGTGACTTCCTCCGCATAAAGCAACCCATAAGTTTCCTTTCACACTTCACGCCCATCCCCATCCCATGGATGAACTAGGGTTCCCTGTTATGGCCACTGGAAGATCAGTAGTGGGAAATGGGAATGCACAAGGTCTACCTGCTCATTTTCTGGACAATGGTTAGTTCTTTCATCCCTTCCTTGCCTGCTTCCTTTACCCATTGTTTTTGGCTGCCTCTGTCAGGTGCTGGATGCTGGGGCCAGCTTTATGTTATATCTTTGCTCTTTTAAAGGCAGCGGCACAGAGGAGCATCCCAGAAGTTGGTCGGGAGCTGGCAGAGCTGGTGGAGCAGCTTGTAGACATCACCAGGAACCTTCAGAGTCAGAGACCCCTCTCACAATCTGAGGCAGACAATGAACTGAGCAATTTGGGCATGGTATGGTCAGCTTGGACAGGGAAGGATTTCCAGGGGGATGAGCAAAGGGTGCCTTCCAGCTGGGACAACATGAATATATTTTGAGTTGAAGGATGCAATACATCTCAATGTTTCATTGTCCTGTTGACTACCAAACACAGATGATCAGAAGCTTGGAGTGCTTGAAGCGAGGTTGGGAAGCTTTGAGCTAGATTTCATCTCATCACTCCACCTAACCAGCTCTCTCTGAGGTCACCGATGACCTCCAAGTAAATCCTGCAGACATTCTAGTTCTTATCTCCATTGACTTCTCAGCAGCCTTTCACACAACTGATCACATCTTTCTTCTTGAAGCATTCTCTTCCCTTAACTTCTAAAACACAAGCCTCCCAGTCCTCCCCCAGCCCCACCTTCTCCTTCTCAGTCTATTTTTCAGGCTCACCCTCTCTACTCAGCACTTAAATGCTGGAATTCTTCAAGGCTCAGTTGTAGGTTCCTTTCTCTTCCCCTGAAGTGGTCTTCCCCACACTCATGGTATTAATTACCACTCTATGCACAAACACTTCCATCCTGGACCCTTCTCTAAGCTCTAGGCTGGTATCTTCCATCTCATCTTTTCCTTTTGGGTATCTCAAAGACACATCACACTTAACATGTTCCAAACTGTTCCTCCTCTGGGACTCCCCATCTCAGTGACTCACCCCATTATCCTTCCAAGTGCACAAGCCAGAAACCTGGGAGCCAGTCTTGTCACCCCCCTCTCCCTTACCCCCAATATGAAGCCTACCGTAGCTCCAAGAATTGCCTAAACATCTCTCGAATCTATTTAGTACTATTGAGCTTTGAGACTTCTCTAATCCAAGCCTATGATCATGTCCTACCTGGATTGCTATGATAGCCACCTAACTGCTCCACTCTTACCCCCTCTTCTGTTCTCACCGCCAACACAGTGATCCTCTCAAATACAAATCTGATCGTGTTACTCCTCTGCTAAAAACTCCAGTAATGTCTTTTTGCTTAAGATTAACACCAAAATCCTCACAGGACCAACAAAGCCCTGTAGGATCCATCCTTGTCTGCCTCTCCAGTCTCGCCATAGCTCCCGCGTTGGTCCATCCAGTGGGTCTTGCTTCCTCCCACCACAGGGAGCACTTCCTGGAATGCTCTCCCTTCACCCTGTCACCTGGTTAACGCCTGCTGGTCCTGCAGACCCCAGCTAGGTCGTCACTTCCTCAGGGAAGGCTTAACTGATTTCCTCGAACAAGTTAAATTTCCCTATCGGAAACCCTGGTGGTGTAGTGGTTAAGAGCTACGGCTGCTAACCAAAGGTTGGCAGTTTGATTCCACCAGGCGCTCCTTGGAAACCCTATGGGGCAGTTCTACTCTGTTCTATAAGGTCGCTATGAGTTGGAATCAACTTGATGGCAACGGGTTTTTTGGTTTTTTTATTAGAGGCTCTTAGGAGCCCTGGTGGCACAGTGGTTAAAGCACTCGGCTTCTAACGGAAAGGTCAGTGGTTCGAACCCACCAGCCAGTCAGTGGGAGGAAGATGTGGCAGTCTTCTTCCCTAAAGATTTACAGCCTTGGAAACCCTATGGGGCAGTTCTGTAGGGTCACTCTGAGTTGGAATCGACTCAACAGCTGTGGGTATTAGAGACTCTTATAATTCCAGGTAACTTTTATCTGTTGCAGTTATCACAGTTGCAACTTTATAATGATTTGTGTCATAATTATTAATGTCTGTCCCCACTCCCCACTGGGCTCTAAGCTTCATGAAGGTAGGGACCTTGACTGCTTTTTTGTTTAAAATTGTGCTTTAGATGAAGGTTTACATAACAAATTAGTTTCTTATTAAACAATTAATACATATATTGTTGTGTGACATTGGTTGCCAACCCCATGACATATCAACACTCTCCCTTCTCAACCTTGGGTTCCCCATTACCAGCTTTCCTGTCCCCTCCTGCCTTCTCGTCCTTGCCCCTGGGCTGGTGTGCCCATTTAGTCTTGTTTTGTTTTATGGGGCTGACTAATCTTTGGCTGAAGGGTGAACCTCAGGAGTGACTTCATTACTGAGTTAAAAGGGTGCCTGGGGGCCATACTCTTGGGGTTTCTCCAGTCTCTGTCAGACCAGTAAGTCTGGTCTTTTTTTGTGAGTTAGAACTTTATTCTGTATTTTTCTCCAGTTCTGTCTGGGACCCTCTGTTGTGATTCCTGTCAGAGCAGTCGGTGGTGGTAACCAGGCGCCATCTAGTTGTGCTGGACTCAGTCTGGTAGAGGCTGTGGTAGTTGTGGGGGACCTTGACTGCTTTTGTTCTTTTGTTCACCATTGTATCCCCAGGCCCTAGCACAGTTCCTGACACATAGTAGGTGCTCACAAATACCCACTGAATGAGTGAATAAGAAATGGGTCTTCAGGGATGCAGTGCGTTGAGGGTGGAAAGTCTGAGCATCTGACTTTCAGAGCTGACTTTGCCACTCAGTGGTATTATGACCTTGGGCAAGTCATTTCATCTTCCTGAGCCGTAGGTTTCTAACTGTAAAATAGGAATAAGATACATGGCTTGCCACCTCACTGGTTTGTGCGGAGCATTGAAAAAGATCTTGTATAAAAAACTGTAAAGCAATGTGAAAATGTAGACTACAATTAACTATGGCAATGTAATCACCATGAACCACAATTTCTTGTTTTGTAAAATGAGGATAATAAAACCTGCCTTGAAAGGTTGTTACACAAATTAGAGATAAGCAGTACCTAGCATATGGAACGTGCTCAGAAAGTGGTGCCTAGTACTGCCATTATGAGGCACTGGTAGTAGAATTCTCACCTTCCAAGCGGGAGACCTGGGTTTTATTCCTGTCCAATGCACCTCATGCACGGTCACTACCTGTCTGTCAGTGGAGACTTGCATGTTGCTGCTGTGATGTGGAACAGGTTCCGCAGAGCTTCCACACTAAGATGACTAGGAAGAAAGGCCTGACAATCTACTTTTTAAAAAAAATTTATTATTGGTGGCAATATACATAACCAGACGCACATCCGTTCACAATTTCTACATGAACAGTTCAATTAACATTGGCAATCTACTTCTGGAAACTGACCAATGAAAACCCTATGGATCACAATGGTTTCATGTGCAACTGATCATAGGGATGGTACGGGACTGGGCAGGGTTTCATCCTCTTGTGCATGGAGTCGACATGAGTTCGGGGACAGGTTGCCATGAGGCAGGGGGCCAACTCAGTGGCAGCTTACAACAGCAACACTACCACTATCATTGGTGAAAAGAATGGGAAATGGAAAAGGCAAAGTTGGGAAAGAAGGACCTTGGTGAGTAGATGAGAGGCTGTGTTGGGAAATAACAGGGCGTGAGGTGGAAGAAAAACAAGCAGCATGTGGTGGAGGCCCCGGAAGGCAATCTGGCTGTTGATGTTGACGCTTAAGAGGTGGCATGATATAATGATAACAATCAGGGGAAGATTATTCTGGCCTCTGTGGCTTATTTCAGTGACCATCTTTATTATTTATTTATTCTGTAAAGCCCCTGTGAGATGAGCCTAAAATTTTAAAATGTTTTTGGGTGTCGTCTAAGAAATCCATGTTCGCTGCACAAAATATTAGAAAACCTAGCTGTTCAAAGGAAAAAAAAAATCAGCCATAACCCCACTACCCAGAAGTAACTACTCTTTAATATATTAAATTTTAATTTTTTTTTAATGTTTATTTTATAAAATTATATTAAAATTCATCTTAATTTTATTATCTTATTCCAGATAGTTTTCAATGAACATATTTTGAGGACCTAATTATGCTTTTCTTTTTGGGGGGGGTGGGGAGCTAATTGTGTGTTTTGAAAACTTGTTAGGCGGTAAATGGAAAATTTTACATGGATGGCAGAACTTGAATATAATATTTGATGGATTCCATAAGGGACTTTCGTTTATTTATTTTTATGATTCATCTGTAGGCTTTTTCTCATGGGGTGGACCTTTCCTTGGCTTCTCCAAAGCTAGTGACTTCCAACACATCTGAGGGAAAAACAAGAGATGTTCTCCTTGCCCTAGAAGAAATCCAGGAAAAATTGCGAGAAAACTTCATGTGGAAAGAGGCTGTTGAAAAACAAACACGGGGTGAGTTGATTTTACCTGGGAAGGAGGATTAGCTATGGGAACTTGGGGGAAAATGGCAAAGTGCTTCAGGGACTTGTTCTTTGAGACAGGATCCCAGATCCCAGCTGCATTATTATTGTGGTGTTAAAAATGAGGTAGGAGGATGCTGAGGTGTTTTTGACTTAATGAGTTTCTGGACACCACCTGAGACATGATGTATCAATGCCGTTAATAGATTAAAAACTCAAGACCTGGACCCATTGTCTAAGACCTCATAAATCCAGAACCTCAACCTGATTTCACTGGGTTATTGCTCATCTAGGCAATCTTTATGAGGAGATTCAGAAACAGGCCACTTTTAAATTTTTAAGGAATTTTGCTTTGGGTGTGTGTACTTTTATATTTTATATTTAAATCTTTGGTTTCATGTTTTACATTTAATCTTTGATCCATTTGGAGTTTATTCTAGCCTGTGCCCGTATCATTTTAAATGATGTGATTTACATAGCATAACTTTAGAGACATATCTATTATAATATTTTTATATTTAAATGATGTTGCTATGCTTAAAATGTTTTCTTATTTAACTGGAGAAACATAATTTCTTGGAAAAAGTTACCAATTTCTATGATTATTTAAGGGTACAGTTTAAGTACTTTTGTAAATCCAACTAAGAAAATGGTATTTTCTATGAATGCCTTGGCAAGTACAATATGGTTCTTTATCTGTGGTTAGTTTGTTTTTGATTGTTTGGGCCAGTCAGGAATATCCTTAAAATGTAATATCTGGATATATGCCCACTTCCTGAAACATCATTCCCTGAAGCTTCCATGAGATTGTTTTTAAGACAACGGATTAGTTCTTTAAGTCAGCCTTTTAACAGCAGCCAAGCAGTCTGACTACCTCATCACAATGACTTTGTAACCTTATGTAAGTACACCAGGAGCTGCGGTAGAAATTACACAACCTAAACTGAACAGTGTTTCTCAAGGTGCCCAGGACTCTACATCACACTCCTCTGGGGGCACAAATTACAAGGCAAATTCCAGGGCCCAGTCCCAGACTACTGAATCAGCATCTCTGGGCGGTAGCTCCAGGAATCTGCATTTCTGACAATCTTTCCAGGGGAGTTTGATGCAAACTAAAGTTTTGAGAACCACTTTGATGCAGCTTTCCCCAGAAGGGGCAATTATTTGCAATACAAATTTAATTGTTGGGAAGTAAGTTTATGCAGAGCAATTCTACTTAAACAGAATTGTGCTATAAGAGACCTGTTCCTAAAATTTTAAATTGTTTAAAATGCCCAAGGGAAACTCGCTGCTTTAAAAACTGAAAAAAATTGTTTTTTATTCTCTTAGTAAAGAAACAAGATTCTTTAGACTATGTTATAAAGAAACATCTCAACCATTAATTTTATGTAACAAATATTTCTGTAAAATCAACTGCTTAATAAAAACATCATGCTTTTTTTTCTTTTACAAAACCTATCACACCAGTGGGTAAGCAATCCAGTTTATACCCAGAGAGATTAATTTCTTATAAAACTTCTTCATCTCTTTAATAGTTACCAGTGTCTTATTTAATAGTCAACATTTACAGAATATACATCATGTATAATTTTTTAAAATTTTGATACACTTTATTTTTTTTTTATTGTGCTTTAAGTGAAAGTTTACAGTTCAAGTTAGTTTCTCATACAAAAATTTATACATACATTGTTATGTGACCCTAGCTGCTCTTCCTATACTGTGACAGCACACTCCTCCTTTCCACCCCGGATTTCCCGTGTCCATTCAACCAGCTCCTGACTCTCCCTGCCTTCTCATCTCACCTCTGGACAGGAGCTGCCCATTTAGTCTCATGTATCTACTTGAGCTAAGAAGCGCTGTCTTGATTAGTATCATTTTATGTCTTATAGTCCAGTCTAATCTATGTCTGAAGAGTTGGCCTTGGGAATAGTTTTAGTTCTGGGTTAACAGAGAGTCTGGGGGCCATGTCTTCGAGGGTTCCTCTAGTCTCAGTCAGACCATTAAGTGTGGTCTTTTTACTAGAATTTGAGTACTGCACCCCACTTTTCTCTTTCTTCATCAGAGACTCTCTGTTGTGTTCCCTGTTGGGGCGATCATTGGTGGTTAGCTGGGCACCATCTAGTTCTTCTGGTCTCAGGCTGATGGAGTCTCTGGTTTATGTGGCCCTTTCTGTCTCTTGGGCTAATATTTTCCTTGTGTCTTTGGTGTTCTTCATTCTCTTTTGCTCCAGGTTGATGGTGACTAATTAATGCATCTTAGATGGCTGCTCACTAACTTTTAAGACCTCAGACATCACTCACCAAAATGGGATGCAGAATATTTTCTTAATAAACTTTGTTATGCCAGTTGATCTAGATGTCCCCTGAAACCATGATCCCCAGACCCCCACACCTGCTACTCTATTGCTCGAAGTGTTTGCTTGCATTCAGAGACTTCTTAGCTTTTGGTTTAGTCCAGTTGTGCTGACTTCCCCTGTATTGTGTGTTTTCCTTCCCTTTACCTGAGATAATTCTTATCTACTGTCTAGTTAGTGAGTACCCCCTCTCTCCCTCCCCACCCTTGTAACCATCAAAGAATGTTTTCTTCTGTGTTTAAGCCTTTTCTTGAGTTCTTATAATAGTGGTCTCATACAATATTTCGTCTGTTTGAAACTAATTTCACTCAGCATGATGCCTTCCAGATTCATCCATGCTATGAGATGTTTCGCAGATTCATTGTTGTTCTTTATCGTTGCGTAGTATTCCATTGTGTGACTATACCATAATGTGTTTATCCATTCGTCCGTTGATGGGCACCTAGGTTGTTTTCATCTTTTTGCTATTGTGAAGAGTGCTGCAGTGAACATGGGTGTGCATATATCTATTCATGTGATGGCTCTTATTTCTCTAGGATATATTCCAAGGAGCAAGATTGCTAGATCATATGGTACTTCTATTTCTAGCTTCTTAAGGAAGCATCAAATTGATTTCCGAAGTGGTTGTACCATTTTACATTCCCACCAGCACTGTATTAAGTGTTCCAGTCTCTCCACAACCTCTCCAACATAGATTAGGTGAGATGGTATCTCATTTTAGTTTTGATTTGCGTTTTTCTAATGGCTAATGATTGTGAGCATTTCCTCATGTGTCTGTTAGCTGCCTGAATGTCTTCTTGGTGAAGTGCCTGTTCATATCCTTTGCCC